CCCCACATGTGCTGTACTGGATTGGTCAAGATCTGTCTGGCAGTTTGGGGGTCTTTACTGGGACGGTACCTCTATAGCAGTGGTTCTCAAACATTCCAGTGCTTTGACCCTTTAATACAGTTCCTCGTGTTCTGGTGACCCCAACCAGAACATTATTTTCGCCGATGCGTCATAACTGTAATTTTGTTACTGTTATCAATTGTAATGTAAATATTTTGGTAGACAGGGTGAGAAGCATTGCTCTATAGGGTGTAATTCCCACTGCTGTGGACAAAATATAGAGGTCTAACGTCTTAGGCAACTTCATGAGCTAGGCCATCTGCAAGTTGCTCTGGTCTTGACCAAGAATACACAGAAGCCTGACTCAGGGCTTGGTAACACCAGAAGAGACCCAGGCAGGCATTATTTATGACAGTGAAGTATGATATAATCCCAATGTGGCCACTAGTAAGAGAGGACTGAGAAATCTATGGTACCCATTTATAATGAGATATTGTGTAGCCATGAAATCACGTTTTCCAAAAAACTTAGATGTATCGACCTTCAGTATAATGTTAAACAGAAAAAGAATCTTGGGTATTTTAGGAAAAAGAACCAGGTTATAGAACTGTGTATGACCTTTATTTTGTAGAACAGAGTCCTCATGAAAGCATTCACACACAGCAAGAGATTAGGATGGAAATAGAATATACTGGAAGGATTAAGGAGAATTTTTACGTATTTTATATTTTCTATAATATCCCAAAGCTTCTACAGTGAAATGTATTGATTTTATAATCTGAAAGATCATCAAAATGAAGGTTCAGAAAAGACTCTTCTGTGGTATAGAAAATAACTGGAAGAAAAAAGAATCAACGCTAGTTCATTGGGAGAAGGCTAAAGCTAATTTGCCTTTGAACTTTTGTTACTGAAAAGGTTATTTTCTTCTTTTTTCAAGTAAACTTCCCATCTAATTTACAGATAAGAAATTTCCTGAAGAGACTCAAAAAATAATCTTTTCTGTGGTATAGGGGATTGAGCCCAGGGTCTTGTATATAGGACACAAGTATTCTACCATGGCATTACATCCTCCGTACACTCTGGACTCTAAGTGATTTTTTAAAAAAAATTTTATGTTTGTTACTAAGTAACCCAGGTTGACATTGAACTCATTCTGTAGCCCAGAGTTGCGGAGAGCCCATGATTCCCTTTTCTCAGCCTCCAGAGTGGCTGGGATTACAGCTTGCATCCCCAGGCCCCGTATTCCTCATTCCTCTTAACGTTGACCAAGCTATCCACGATACTTAAGCAAGTCTTTTTCAAAAATTCCTTATTATTTTACTTTGTGCATGTGTGTGCTTGCATGTGTACTCACATGTGAATGTGCGTGCACCTTGGGGGTCAGAAGAGGGCATCAGATCCCCTGGAGCAGGAGTTACAAGTGGCTGTGAGCCACCTAGTGTGGGTGCTGCAAGCCAAACGCGCCGGTCTTCTGCCAGAACGGCACCAGGAGCTCCTAACCACCGAGCCATCTCTTTCAGCTCAGGAAACAAGTCTTATTTGCCAAATATTTGAGGGAACAGTGTCTCCTATACTGTAATATTTTGTTTTTAATCGATCTTCACACTTGGCAAGAATAATAAAAATAGCAGAGCTCCTGTTTGATGAGGCATCTTATGATTTTGCAAAGCTTACCGAACGATGAATGCCACTCTGGTCTCAGGAGACATCACAGTGAGTGATATTCCTGAGAGAAGGTAATGGATAAGTGAGGGGTATGGATGTTGGAGGCGATAAATGCTTCGGAGAAAACTGAAGAGGTGTGGGTAAGAGTGGGAGACTGCTCTTTTAAGTCAATTTGACAGAATGAATTTGATAATTGTTTGAGTAGAAAGAAAAAAAAAAGGAGAGTCTAAAAAACGTGTCCCTGGACAGTTAGCACCTCCACTTTCAGCTCTTAGACACAAAATCATTAAAATCTCCATGGAGGAATCATCTCGATAACTAATTGCATGCCGCTGAAGTTAAAATGTGCTAATTATCAATTTCACAAACCCCGTGTAAAATTACAATGAGTCACAGTGATGCTACCTATTCTACACCCAGCCTCCGTCCTTAACCTGAAGGAGCCTCAGTGTTCTGACCGACACCGTGGGGGGTGATTATAGGATGGTCCTGCCCACCCCTACTGTACCAGAGCACTCTTGTCTTAGATCAAAGCAAAAAGCTTGTGCAAGGGATTTTTACAACACAGATGTGGCAAGGCTTCTAGCCAAGGTCCACTGGACATGGTCATACACCTCATATGCACTATTTCTTTAGTCTTCATGACTGTTCTTGCAGGTGTGCAAACAATATTCACTCCATTTTCAAGACAGCACTAAGGCTGAGAGGGGCAGGGGCGCCTGCCCAGAATCAAATGCTGTAAACCTGGCTGCTAGCTCCAAAAGCTGGGCTGGCAGTCACAGCTCTGATCTTGTGCTCACTTCCCAGGGGGCAAGCCTCCCTGGCCTCAGTTTCTCTTTTAGAAGCTGTGAACACATTGGTACATTCCCACTCCCTACCCCATGATTGGTACTAGGCTTTCAAGAGACAGTGATGTCTTCTGAGGGTGCTCAGCAGATCAGTGCTGAAGACCATGATAGCCCTGCATCCCGTCACGGTCCCTATCAGCCGTGCTCCAAATACGGAGTAAAGCAGCAGAACGAGCCTAATTAGCTTCTGATGAACTCCTTTGGGAAGGGGAGGGGAGAGGATTATAGAAGATGCAGGGAATGGGACACCCTAGTGAGTGAATGGGGGGCGGGGGGATGGAGGAGATTGCAAAGGAAGGAGAGAGGGACTTCTGGAGGGAAGAATCCCTAGCATTCTACCTAGCAACAGGTAGACACATTTCCTGATTTCATCCAGTTCTGGGTAGCAGGGACAGGGGTGTCGCCTGATTTCTTTCTATCAATGCCTCTGGTTCCCTACAACCTCTGTGCCACCCCGTGGATGGTTATATTTTTTTCCTAAGCCCTAGGCATGTGACTGGTCTGCTCTAGGCCTAAGGCCTCAGCTGCTCAGACTCAGGAAGATCCTTTCCAGAAATCTGGCCAGCTCTTAAATTCAAATCATGCATCTGTCACCAGCTCCAGCTCCTTCAGTAGACTCATCATGGGGTCCTGTGACCTATGTCTATGGTCTGGATAGGCATGCCATAGTCGGCAAAGAATCACAGTGAGTACCTTTCTGGCCCCTGGTAATCTCACTGTCCCATTGACTGGGCATCTTGATACCTGTTGGAACCATCACCTGTGGCTCACTCAAGTCACCCCACGGCAAGCAATCCTCTCTTCACCTAAACCAGAGCAGATCGAGATGTGTAAATTCCTTTGTATAGAGTATGAACATTATGTAGGGGGCCTCAGTCTGGGGTGGCAAGTACCACCCAAAGGCAAAAGAAAAAAAAGGCAGAGTATCCCTTTGAGTCAGCGAGCCTCTTGAAACCTGGACAACTCAGCGTAGGAAAGGTTTGGGCGGGGCATAGGAAAGGTTTGGGCGGGGCATAG